GAAACACACACACAGAGCTCAGAAACACACACAGAGCTCAGAAACACACACAGAGCTCAGAAACACACACAGAGCTCAGAAACACACACACAGAGCTCAGAAAAACACACACAGAGCTCAGAAACACACACACAGAGCTCAGAAACACAAACACACACACAGAGCTCAGAAACACACACACACAGAGCTCAGAAACACACACACACAGAGCTCAGAAACACACACACACACAGAGCTCAGAAACACACACACAGAGCTCAGAAACACACACACAGAGCTCAGAAAACACACACACAGAGCTCAGAAACACACACACAGAGCTCAGAAACACACACACAAGCTCAGAAACACACACACAGAGCTCAGAAACACACACAACAAGAGCTCAGAAACACACACACAGAGCTCAGAAACACACACACACAGAGCTCAGCTCAGAAGACAACAACACACACACAGAGCTCAGAAACACACACACAGAGCTCACACAGAGCTCAGAAACACACACACAGAGCTCAGAAAACACACACAGAGCTCAAAACACACACACAAGCTCAGAAACACACACAGAGCTCAGAACACACACAGAGCTCGAAACACACACAGAGCTCAGAAACACACACACACAGAGAGCTCAGAAACACACACACACAGAGAGCTCAGAAACACACACACACACACACACAGAGCTCAGTAACACACACACACAGAGAGCTCAGAAACACACACACACAGAGAGCTCAGAAACACACACACACAGAGCTCAGAAACACACACACACACACACAGAGCTCAGAAACACACACAGAGCTCAGAAACACACACACAGAGCTCAGAAACACACACACAGAGCTCAGAAACACACACACAGAGCTCAGAAACACACACAGAGCTCAGAAACACACACACAGAGCTCAGAAACACACACAGAGCTCAGAAACACACACAGAGCTCAGAAACACACACACAGAGCTCAGAAACACACACACACACACACACACAGAGCTCAGAAACACACACAGACAGAGCTCAGAAACACACACACACACACACAGAGCTCAGAAACACACACACACAGAGCTCAGAAACACACACAGAGCTCAGAAACACACACACAGAGCTCAGAAACACACACAGAGCTCAGAAACACACACAGAGCTCAGAAAACACACACACACACACACACAGAGAGCTCAGAAACACACACACACACACACACAGAGAGCTCAGAAACACACACACACAGAGAGCTCAGAAACACACACACACACACACACACAGAGCTCAGAAACACACACACACACACAGAGCTCAGAAACACACACAGAGCTCAGTAACACACACACAGAGAGCTCAGAAACACACACACACAGAGAGCTCAGAAACACACACACACAGAGAGCTCAGAAACACACACACACACACACACACACACACACAGAGCTCAGAAACACACACAGAGCTCAGAAACACACACACACACAGAGCTCAGAAACACACACACACAGAGCTCAGAAACCCACACACACAGTGCTCAGAAACACACACACACAGAGCTCAGAAACACACACACACAGAGCTCAGAAACACACACACACAGAGCTCAGAAACACACACACACACAGAGCTCAGAAACACACACACACACAGCTCAGAAACACACACACACACACACAGAGCTCAGAAACACACACACACAGAGCTCAGAAACACACACACACAGAGCTCAGAAACACACACACACAGAGCTCAGAAACACACACACACACACACAGAGCTCAGAAACACACACACACAGAGCTCAGAAACACACACACACAGACCTCAGAAACACACACAGAGCTCAGTAACACACACACACACACACACAGACCTCAGAAACACACACACACACACACACAGTGACTACAGCAGTGCACGTTTACAGTCCTAGTGCAGGTCAGGAAGGGACTCCTTGTACAGTCTGACAGCAGTGGGGATGAAGGCTCCTCCTTGTACAGTCTGACAGCAGTGGGGATGAAGGCTCCTCCTTGTACAGTCTGACAGCAGTGGGGATGAAGGGCCTCTGCAGTTATTTGCTCATTTGTATTGATTGAGTTTTAAGACGATAAAAATATACATAATACATAACAATTATAACTTATTTCAAATATTTATCACTGTATCAAATCTGTGACTTGTTAGAGCCACATGAGCACAGGGACTGGCCTCCTGCTGGGACTCTGAGGAGCACAGGGACTGGCCTCCTGCTGGGACTCTGAGGAGCACAGGGACTGGCCTCCTGCTGGGACTCTGAGGAGCACAGGGACTGGCCTCCTGCTGGGACTCTGAGGAGCACAGGGACTGGCCTCCTGCTGGGACTCTGAGGAGCACAGGGACCGGCCTCCTGCTGGGACTGAGGAGCACAGGGACTGGCCTCCTGCTGGGACTCTGAGGAGCACAGGGACTGGCCTCCTGCTGGGACTCTGAGGAGCACAGGGACTGGCCTCCTGCTGGGACTCTGAGGAGCACAGGGACTGGCCTCCTGCTGGGACTGAGGAGCACAGGGACTGGCCTCCTGCTGGGACTCTGAGGAGCACAGGGACCGGCCTCCTGCTGGGACTCTGAGGAGCACAGGGACTGGACTCCTTCTGGGACTGAGGAGCACAGGGACCGGCCTCCTGCTGGGACTCTGAGGAGCACAGGGACTGGCCTCCTGCTGGGACTCTGAGGAGCACAGGGACTGGCCTCCTGCTGGGACTCTGAGGAGCACAGGGACTGGCCTCCTGCTGGGACTTTGAGGAGCACAGGGACTGGACTCCTGCTGGGACTTTGAGGAGCACAGGGACAGACTTCTTCTTCTCTGACATTGTTCTAATCCAGGTTAAAAACACTGACGGAGGATTTGTTCTTTCTCTGATGCTCTGGGATTATTTTAATGCTTTGAGTGATTTCAATCTTTGTCTTTGAGCTGTTTGTGTTTGAACCGTTCACAAATAAACTCTGTCTGGACCTCCTCACACACAGTAGACCAGCCTCACGCTGAGACTTGGACTTGGACTTGGATGGACATTATTGACCTAAAAGAGAATTAAGTACAGTATTTCCTAATATAAGAAAAAAAAAATACAAATAACCTTTAAGTAAAAATCTGTGAGAAAAAAGAAAAAAAAGAAACTCTGCCAAAGAAGGTCCTCGAGGCTGTAGACCCAGGACTGAGGCTGTAGACCCAGGACTGAGGCTGTAGACCCAGGACTGAGGCTGTAGACCCAGGACTGAGGCTGTAGACCCAGGACTGAGGCTGTAGACCCAGGACTGAGGCCGTAGACCCAGGACTGAGGCTGTAGACCCAGGACTGAGGCTGTAGACCCAGGACTGAGGCTGTAGACCCAGGACTGAGGCCGTAGACCCAGGACTGAGGCCGTAGACCCAGGACTGAGGCTGTAGACCCAGGACTAAGGCCGTAGACCCAGGACTGAGGCCGTAGACCCAGGACTGAGGCCGTAGACCCAGGACTGAGGCCGTAGACCCAGGACTGAGGCCGTAGACCCAGGACTGAGGCCGTAGACCCAGGACTGAGGCCGTAGACCCAGGACTGAGGCCGTAGACCCAGGACTGAGGCCCTAGACCCAGGACTGAGGCCGTAGACCCAGGACTGAGGCCCTAGACCCAGGACTGAGACTGTAGACCCAGGACTGAGGCCCTAGACCCAGGACTGAGACTGTAGACCCAGGACTGAGGCCCTAGACCCAGGACTGAGGCCGTAGACCCAGGACTGAGACTGTATGTGGCTGTGGAGGAGAACGTGAGAAGAGGTGAAAGTGAAAGTAAGACATGGAAATAAGTGAGAAAAACAAGTCATGCGCAAGACACACACACACACATACAGACACACACACACACACACATACAGATACACACACACAGATACAGACACACACAGACAGATGAAGAGTGACAGGCTGCAATAAAAGAAAATGAGTCTGAGCCTCAGGACGTGAGACGCACAAGGTGACACTTCTGTGTGTGTGTCTGTGTGTGTCTATGTCTATGTGTGTGTCTGTGTGTGTCTGTGTATGTCTGTGTGTGCGTCTGAGACCTCTGTGTGTGTGTATGTGTGTGTGTGTATGTGTGTCTGTGTGTGTGTGCGTCTGAGACCTCTGTGTGTGTGTGTGTGTGTATGTGTGTGTCTATGTCTATGTGTGTGTGTGTGTATGTGTGTGTCTATGTCTATGTGTGTGTGTGTGTCTGTGTGTCTCTGTGTGATCTGTCTGATCTGACACCATGAGAAACACACATCTGCTCTTCAGAACAGCACAAGGAGCAGACACACACTGTACAGACACACACAATACAGACACACACTCTGTAAAAACACACACTCTGACCTCTAAATGCACCACACATCATTAATTATTTTATATATTTTTTAAATAAATCTGGAGAATGTGATTGGACTCATTGGATGTGTTTAATAATTAGTGTTAATAATAAAATCAACCTGGCAACCCTCGGCAACCCCAACCAGGCCACCCTAATCAACCAGGCCACCCTAATCAACCTGGCAACCCTAATCAACCTGGCAACCCTAATCAACCTGGCAACCCTAATCAACCTGGCAACCCTAGGCAACCCCAACCTGGCAACCCTCAGCAACCCCAACCCCAACCTGGGTCTGGGGTTTTAGAAATTAGATATTTTTACTCATTACTCATTAGTCCAGTATTATCCTCATCAACACAAACGTCAACAATACTTTTTATTTTAGTCCTTTAGTGTTTATGTCGTGGTCATGCAGGAGTCTGACCGTGAGTGGCAGGAAGGGCGTCGCCGAGTCTCTCTCTCGCTCTTCATTATCAGACCTTGGCATTTCCCAGAAGGCTTTGTGTTTACACTTCCTGCTGCTGATAAAACGGAGCACAGGGACGCAGCGCTTCAAAGACGGAAATCCAGTTTAAAAATGCCCTTTTCAGGTCTGGGCCTCGGCGGCTTTGTCACACACAGAATATGATCCGTGACTCATGGACCGGTTGGAGGCGGTTCAGACCGGTTGGAGGCGGTTCAGACCGGTTGGAGGCGGCTCAGATCGGTTGGAGGCGGTGAGGCTCAGACCGGTTGGAGCGGCTCAGACGTTGGGCGTCAACGGTTGGAGGCGGCTCGTGAGCGTCGACGGTTGGAGGCGGCTCAGACGGTTGGAGGCGGCTCAGACGGTTGGAGGCGGTTCAGACCGGTCAGATCGTTGGAGGCGGCTCAGATCGGTTGGAGGCGGCTCAGATCGGTTGGAGGCGGCTCAGACCGGTTGGAGGCGGTTCAGACCGGTTGGAGGCGGCTCAGACCGGTTGGAGGCGGCTCAGACCGGTTGGAGGCGGCTCAGACCAGTTGGAGGCGGTTCAGACCGGTTGGAGGCGGCTCAGATCGGTTGGAGGCGGCTCAGATCGGTTGGAGGCGGCTCAGATCGGTTGGAGGCGGCTCAGACCGGTTGGAGGCGGCTCAGATCGGTTGGAGGCGGCTCAGACCGGTTGGAGGCGGCTCAGATCGGTTGGAGGCGGTTCAGACCGGTTGGAGGCGGCTCAGATCGGTTGGAGGCGGTTCAGACCGGTTGGAGGCGGCTCAGATCGGTTGGAGGCGGCTCAGACCGGTTGGAGGCGGTTCAGACCGGTTGGAGGCGGCTCAGACCGGTTGGAGGCGGCTCATACCAGTTGGAGGCGGTTCTCTCAGATCCGTTCTTGACATAAATGTGCCGTTTGCTCCGTTCATAAGTTTCTAATCAAAAATACATTTTGCTCGAGGAAAGATGTATTTTTTATATTTTCTGAAGTGTGATTTATTATTCATACGACGCCGAGGGGGAGGACGGCGAGTCTGTTCAGAGCAGACCAGTTCTGGAACAGCCTCCCACATGGTCCACATGGTACTTCATGGTCCACAATAAACCAGGAAGTCCAACTAAATTTCTTAAACAGTCGTTCTCTTGGATGTTGTTCTAAGCTGTGGATTCTCCAACACAGATCAGAGAATCGAAAAGAGGAAAAGCAGAGATTGAAAACACACAGAGCATGATGGGAATGACGAGAAGTTCTGGGGTCGAGTCCCAGAGACATACTTTATGGTTTATTGTTGATGGTAGAGACAAGACACCAGCAAAGATTCACAGAATGCATGTTGTATTATTACAGCAAAACCAACACATTCAAGTGGATAAGTGTTGATGACAAGCTGAGGTTTCAGCCTCAGTCCTGGGTCTACAGCCTCAGTCCCGGGTCTACAGCCTCAGTCCTGGGTCTACAGCCTCAGTCCTGGGTCTACAGCCTCAGTCCCGGGTCTACAGCCTCAGTCCTGGGTCTACAGCCTCAGTCCTGGGTCTACAGCCTCAGTCCTGGGTCTACAGCCTAGAGTCTCAGTCCTGGGTCTACAGCCTCAGTCCTGGGTCTACAGTCTCAGTCCTGGGTCTACAGCCTAGAGTCTCAGTCCTGGGTCTACAGCCTCAGTCCTGGGTCTACAGTCTCAGTCCTGGGTCTACAGCCTCAGTCCTGGGTCTACAGCCTCAGTCCTGGGTCTACAGCCTCAGTCCTGGGTCTACAACCTCAGTCCTGGGTCTACAGCCTCCGTCCTCAATCTACAGCCTCAGTCCTGGGTCTACAGCCTCAGTCCCGGGTCTACAGCCTCAGTCCTGGGTCTACAGCCTCAGTCCCGGGTCTACAGCCTCAGTCCTGGATCTACAGCCTCAGTCCCGGGTCTACAGCCTCAGTCCTGGGTCTACAGCCTCAGTCCTGGGTCTACAGCCTCAGTCCTGGGTCTACAGCCTCAGTCCTGGGTCTACAGCCTCAGTCCTTGGTCTACAGCCTCAGCCCTGGGTCTTTCGTTGCATTTCCTGGGTTTGATTCTCTGATCTGTGCTGGAGAATCGACAGCTTTTTAAAGTATTTAATATTGTGATTTAGGGAGCAGTACGCAAATACAATGAAATGCATGTTCTCCCCGTGTCTGCGTAGGTTTCCTCCGGGTGCTCCGGTTTCGCCTACCACTACAAACACAACAGTTCAGGGTGAGTGAGTGTGACTTTGGGGCCACAGACAGAGGTTAGCCAAAGGTACAGCTCCTTCGGCAGATCAAGTCCCTGTGATCCCGGTCTGGAAACCCCTCTTCGCCCCGAGGCCTAACCCTTCTTTGACTTCGAAGCTTAATCTCTGGACTATCTGAACTTTCTCTGTGCCGCCTTCTCTACTCGGCACACACGGCGATCCTGACGAGCAAACAAAGCTGTCATTTAAGAGCAGCTAACGGCCTCCTCCGACTCCCTCTGAGCCGCCATCTTGTTGCTCATTAACTTCTCTCCGGTTTTATTTGAACACGGCTTTGATTTTGACTAAAAATAATGAAGGCGGTATAACTTTGTAGCCGCGGGGGACGAAGCCGCTTGTCGCTAACGTTGATCAATCTCCCGTTCGCTCTTCGTGGAGCTAAAAAAAATGTGTTTGGTTTTCTGCGATTGAATTGCTGGGATATAATCGTGAAACAAAAAGGTCTTTCTCTGAGCTGATTCCGCTCTGAGAGAAGAGGCCAATGCCAGATTAAGCCATTAACTTTGTATAAGTCCTTCCAGACGTAATCTGGCGTCTCTTCTCTGTTGCTAATAGCGGCGAAACAATAAGAGGGCGCTAATCTGGAGAGCGGGGATGGATCCGACAGGGACCAAACAAAACATAGACGTTCTTAGATTATAGCCCTGGCATTTCTGTGGCGTTAGCGCGGCCCGGCGGGATTCTGTCGCTTCTGTTGTCAATAAAAAAGATTGGTTGTCGAGCGGTTGTCGAGTGGGATCCCGCAGATGTCTTGAAGTCCGTTTACATTTACTATTTTTATATAAAATTCAGACTTTCTAACCACACAAAAAAGTGCAAAGATTAATCCAGATTTAACCCTTTAATGTTCTCTCCTTGAAGAAAGCGACACGATCTAATATGTAGGAAAAGTAACATCCCTAGTTTTTTATTTTTTATTATTGGCTTTTACCAAATGGTTGAGGTGCAGTTCCGTGGTTCAGCCTAAAGTGCTACGTGATTACAGTTTTTCTCAGTCGCTTTGGTGCATTTCTCACATCATTCTTCACATTTGCACAACTGTTGGTGCATTTCTCAGAACAATTAGTGTAAACTGCAGAACCTCGTGGAAAACCTGCAAAAGTGCGTCACTTTCTCAAAATTAAAAGTTTTTTCCTCAAAAGCAAGTTCAAACGTCAATGAAACTGTCTGTGTCGTCAAAATAATATGTCCTAACAACATTGAGTATGAACATCACAGTCAAATGACTTAGTCATGTTTTCATTGTGAAAGTTTACTCTCTGTGTTTTCAGTGTAAAAAAGTCAGATCTCGGTGACACTTGAGCACGACACACTATACACGACCTGTGCAGCCATTTACAGTAAAAACTACAGTAAAGTTACACAAAGACTGTATTTAGAGACGTAACTGACATATATGTATGTATGTGTGTGTGTGTGTACTGTATGTATGTATGTACTGTATGTATGTATGTGTGTATCTACTGTATGTATGTGTGTGTGTGTGTGTATCTATGTATGTATGTACTGTATATATGTATTGTATGTATGTACTGTATGTATGTACTGTATATATGTATTGTATGTATGTACTGTATGTATGTATTGTATGTATGTACTGTATATATGTATTGTATGTATGTACTGTATGTATGTACTGTATATATGTATTGTATGTATGTACTGTATGTATGTATTGTATGTATGTACTGTATGTATGTATGTGTGTATCTATGTATGTATGTACTGTATGTATATGTATGTATGTATGTATGTATGTATGTGTACTGCATATGCTCTGTATATTTGTTGCACAATGCTGTAGAAGTGCAGACACATACATGTATATACATAGAACAAACATACAGAAATATCATTATGGTAGAACTGTGACAAAAATAAACAATAAAGCACACCTCAGAGTGAAGCTGAAATTCACATGAGATAAATTGTTAAATTTAGGCAATATTTACAGGAAAAAAAAGATAAAGGAATGTATGAAATTAGCTTGACAGTTATGATTTTGAGAACTAGTTCAACAATTTTGTATGTGATGACCAAAGTGATGAAATGAGAACAGTTAGTTTTATAATTATAGTGAAAGACTATTCAGAAGTCATAAGTGTGTTTCATTCTGACTGACAGGACAGAAGCAAATGATAATGTTAAAAAAACGCCGAGAATTGTTTGAAAGTTATTGATACATGAACGAAAGCATTTGAAATGTGTTCAGAGGAATGAGAAACTGCCGTGATGATGTGCACCAGTGACCCAATGTTGTGGAGGTTGAACTAATAGTTTTGAGAAGTTTAAGTCTGATGTGAGAAATGCACCAAAGCAACTGAGAAAAACTGTAAGTGCCTAAAACCAAGTGAGACGTCCCAAAGAGGCTCCGAATGTGATCTTAAAGGGTTCAATATAGAAATAGTTGTGTCCTTGGGCAAGACACTTCCCCCACATTACAATGAGTCTGGTGTGTGTGTGAATGGTTGGTGGTGGTGGGAGGGGCTTCTGTCAGTGTGCCCCAGGGCAGCTGTGGCTACAGTAGTAGTTTATCACCTGTGCTTGGAGAGAGAGAAGAATGAAGTGAAGAGACTTTGAGAGTCCAGAAAAGTGCTATAGAAAATGCATTATTATTATTATTATTAGTAATATTAGTAATCTAAGTGAGCATTGTGGAAATGTGTCTCACTCCACACAGAGATGGGAGCGGGGTTATTATCATTATCATTATTTTTATTATTATTGTTATTAATATCATTATTATCATTATTATTATTGTTATTGTTATTATTATTATTATCATCATTATTATCATCATTATTATTATTATTATCATCATTATTATAATTCAACTTCATCTAACAATTTACATATTTAATCTTCAACTTAACCTTCTCTGACAATGTTTAAATCCAGGATAAAAACAGTTGTGTGTCTCTTCTACAACTGAGGGATTTTATATTTTTCTCTTCCTTTTTAATGTTCTGAGATTATCAATGATTTTAATTCTTATTTTGTTCAGTGCTTATACGTGAATGATTTGTGCTGCATAAATAAACTTGCCTTGTCCTTTGGATCTGACCGGCTTCAGCCTCAGAGCTCTGTCCTGGTTTCACTTCCAAATCCACTTCCAGTTGGAAATAAATCTGAAATGTGTGTTTTTGTCTAAACGGCGCTAAAGTGACTCCGCGCGCCGTGGTGACGCAAGACTCTGAAATGTGCTGATCAGGCCAAAAACATAAGTGCCAGATTTAGGGGAATTCAGCCGTTTTACTGTGTCCTGCAGGTGGGGGCCGTTTCATCAGGGGCCGGGGATGTCGGGGGGTGTCGGGGGATGTCGGGGGGTGTCGGGGCAGCTGCGGCTACAGAGCGGCCCCGACACTGACGCATGGTTTTCATTAAGCGCAGGGCTCGTGCTGTTCCTGTAAAGAGGCAGAAGATCATGTTTCTCACCACATGGACCTTTAACGACTGGAACGGTTTCAGTTAAACCAGGGGTGTCCAAACTTTTTATATAGATACATAGATACATAGATAGATACATAGATAGATAGACAGATAGATAGATGATAGATACATAGATAGATACATAGATAGATACATAGATAGATAGATAGATAGATACATAGATAGATAGATAGATAGATACATAGATACATAGATAGATACATA